GGGTTCTTAACCTGGGCTCCAAAAATTTGTTTTTGTTTAAGCTAGACAACAGAATTTCAATATAATTAGTTTCCTTTGTAATCCTATGTATTTTATTTTATGCATGTAAAAATATCATTCTGAGAAGGGGTTCCTATGCTTCAGTAAACAGCCAAAGCTTCCATGACACAAGAGCAGATTAAGACCCCCTGTCCTGGGGTTGTAAGCTGTAGAACACATGCTGACTTACACTGTTAGAAGTTTCTTTGTTGGGGTGCTCCTTTCACGCATGAAATCACATCTGGATCAAAAAAATAGACAAACTCTGGCCACTGGGATTTCCCTGACTACTTCCTACCCTGGTCTTTCCATAAATCCCAGCCATTTAGAAAGGAACCAGCTTCCATCTTCCTACTTAATTTTGAATTATTTTTGTTCGCTCCTTGGAGAAATGTCCAGATTCTCAGAGGGTAGGCCCCTTTCTCCTATCGCTAGTGCTTGTTTTCCCAGAGACTCCAGTTTAGAGACCTTCCCTGGAGTAGGACTCTGGACAGGGTGACACTGAGTCATTTGAGGACATTGTTCCACTTGGAGACACGTGGGCCAGCAGGAAATTTCCTCCCATGGTGAGACAGACATTAAGCCTAAGCCTGAGGACTCAGTAATCAACTGCTCCTTAGTTTCCTGATCTACAGGACACACTTTGCTTTCTCTGACTATTGCCTGAGACAGTCTTCCTGTGCTGAAGCAGTAGAAGAAGAGGAGAAAGGAAAGGGGAGAATGCATTCCAATAAACTCAAGATTTCTTGCTTCTTTCATCAGTGTCTGACTGTACTGACAATTAGCATCCAAATTAGTCTTTTTCCACTTGGCCCTAGAGGACAAGAGTAGTACCAGTGGGTAGAAGTTGCTTTTCTGTTGAGTTGCTTTTCAGTCATATCTGACTCTTCGTGACCCCATTTGGGATTTTCTTGGCAAAGGTATTAGCGTGGTTTGCTATTTCCTTCTCTAGCTTATTTTACCGCTAAGGAAACTGAGGCAAACAGGGTGAAGTGACTTGCCCAGGGTCATACAGCTAGTAAGTGTCTGAGGCCAGTTTTGAACTCGGAAGATGAATCTTCCAGACTTGAGGTCCAGCACTCTGTACTAGCTGCCCCTCGAAGTTATACAGAGGGAGATTTTAGTTCAATAAAAAGGACTTCCAAATAACTAGAACTATCTAAAAATGAAATACTTTGGCTCAGCAGCTAGTGAGCTCCTCATGACTAGATGTCTATCACTGGCCAGTGTGATGCTGGTTTATAACTCAGTCAACATTTCTCTTTTGGCTCTGCCAACTACTAGCTGTGTAAATTTGGGCCTGTTTCCTCCCCATTTCTGAACCTTGGTTTCTTCCTCTAAAAAAATGAGAGGGGTCAGTCTACGTGATGTCTAAAGTTCTCTTCAGCTTTAACATTCTGTGATTCTGTGTCTGTGTCCCATAAGCATTTCTGGGGCTTCACTGGTACAAAAGTCCACAGATGGCCCTGAACTGAGATGATCATCTCTTTCCCTTTCCTCTTGGGATGATATCACTGAATTTCAGGGTACAGCACACCCACTATCAGCCCTAAAGCCTTCTTTCAGTGAGGGGTTGTAGAGAATCAAGCCAGTGCTAGGTCAAGGTCAAGCTCTGTCCATGACCTAAAGAGCACACTTAAGGTCCAAGTTGTCTACTTCTCAAGACAGTAAAATGGAAGATCTGCAGACAGGAGAAGCAGCCTTATAGAATACTCTTTTTCTGTGTGTGTATACTGTTTTTTTTTTCCCTTTTGAAACAATGGAAGGAGTCTCATGGACTTATTATTTAAGGTATTACTACTGGTGACGTACTTGCCCTTCTGATTTCATAGTTTCATTCCTCAGCTGTCTGAGGAGGTGGATGTAATTCTCATAAACCTAGGCTGGGATCACTCCAGGTCTTCACTATAAGAGGAAACTCTGATGGAATAGAAAAGGCATGAATAAGAAATTAGGAGACCTGGGTGTGAGGACCTATTGGCCCAATCATTAGCCATGTGACCTCTCTCAGCCTTGGCTTACCCATCTTTAAATTATTAACTACAGGCCTTGTTTATCTCTAAGGCTACTGTAAGAAACAATTGGAATGGGGCAGCTAGGTGGTGCAGTGGATAGAGCTCCAGCCTAGGAGTCAGGAGGATTTGAGTTCAAATGCGGCCTCTGACACTTACTAGCTGTGTAACCCTGGGCAAGTCACTTAAACCCCAATTGCCTCACAAAAGAAAACAAAAGAAACAATTGGAATAACTGATTCCCCTTCAGGCCTACTTCAGTCTAGCCAAATTGGCATTATTGTGGCCTCTCCTCCCTCCTGCCTCTGTCCATTTGCCTCAGCTATCCACCTTGCTCAGCTGAAGCGTCTCCTTCCGCAGGAGGGTGAAGGTCACGATTCTCCTAGCACTAGCACCTCCCCTTCAAAGTCATCATGTGTCTGTGTTGTACGATGCTATATATGTACATGTTGCCTCCATCGGCTAGACTGTAAGCTTCCTGAGAGCAAGGATAGTTTCAACTTGGCGCACAGGAAATATTTCATAAATGTTTGCTGATTGCTTGGTTGAATATTGGGGGTGAAAGTAACTTTGTAAACTGTAATGCAATACGAATACAAGGGAAAGGAAACGTGTTATAGCGGGGGTGGGGAACCTGTGGCCTTAAGAGCTCATGTGGCCTTTTAAATCCTTAAGTGGGGCCTTTCGACTGAATCCAAATCCCTGGTATAGAAAAAGCAAGCACTCAACTTGCTTACTGAGTCAAGAGTTCAAGCTACGGGCTCTGACATTTACTAACTGTGCGACCACGTGCAAATTCATATCTTTGAGCCTCAGTTTCTTTATACGTGCAATGGGGATATTACTACATGCTTTGACTTTGGGTAACTCAACTAATTTTGGTGAGTTCAGTTTCCTCATCTGTAAAATAGAGATAACAACCCCCTGTCTTACCTACCTTACAAGGCTATTATAAAGGAAGTGCTATATAAACCACCAAATGCTACATTAATGTGAGTGATTATTTATTAATTGTTGTTGTTATTCTCAGATCCTCAAAATGCTTCCACAAATTGGCCAATCAGTATATGGGCAGCACCTGCTGTATAGCCAGAAGAGCTAAAGTCGTGCATGTCCTGGAAACCCCAGGGAAATGAAACCTACTTGCTTTACCTTCCCCTCACCCCTTCCCTCTTTAACAGCTTTTTGTTATCTATACTCAACATCTATCAGGTTTTCTCTGACAAGGGCCATTGCATTGACCTAAATGGATGGAAAGTGGATTTACACATTTAACAGGTTTCTGCTCAATATAGCTCTGAAAATGAGGGATTTTTTTCCCCTTCCATTTGGAAGAAGGATGACATTTCTAAAATGAGGTTGAAAACACTGTTTCTAGCTTCACTCTTTCTCCATTCCATTTCATAATATCTGCATATTTTAAAACCCTATAATGATTTATGCCTCATTAAATCTCCCCTTTGTACAGATTATATAAGGCTCAGAGGCATAGCACCCCTATCCAAATATGTTGTGCATAAATGCATTTAAAATATCTGTGGCATTAACCAAGTTGATCTGATTTCAAATCATAGAAAATACATGGAATAAAGCTAACTATATTTAACACAGAGAATCACAGAAAGCTAGCACTGGGAGAAGCCTTAGAGAATCTCTAACAGAGTTGATTTCCCTCCCTTTATAGGTGAGGAAACTGAGATCCACAGAGGGAAAGGGAATTGCCCAGCGGGCCAGTGGGAGAGCCTAGGCAACAGGGCCAGCCCTTCTGGCTCTCAGTCTGGCATTTTTTCCATTGCTTTCTTAGCTTACCTTCTAAACCATGGTATATTTATATAGTCAATGTTTAGTAATATATTTAAAACTATTTAATAGTGCCTTTAAAATTTAACATAATTATTTTCATAACCATCGAAATACGGGTCCAGAAACCAGGCACTTTTATGTTGCTACTGTTTCAAATGTATTTTCCATAATGGGACTGTACCTAGTTTGGGAATTCATTTGCTCTCACTCAGATTAGTCTTTCCTCCAAGTCATCCCATACGTTGCTCGATTCTTGTATTAATCTTTCTTATTCTCAGATGCTGTTGTATCACTTTGACGCTCAGACGCCTTTAACGGTCTCTTATCACTTCAGAATAAAGTCTACCTTCTTTAGCCTTGGCACTCAAGGCCCTCTACACAGGAGTTCCAACTGATCCTTCTAGCCTTATCATATCTTGACAGTTCATGCTACAGTTAAACAGAACTGGCAGACAGGTGGAACAACGGATAGAGCCTGAAGTTATACTCGTCTTCATGAGTTAAATCTGGCCTCAGACACTTACTAGCTGTGTGACCCTGGGCAAGTCACTTCACCCTGTTTGCCTCAGTTTCCTCATCTGTAAAATGAACTAGAGAAGGAAATGGCCAACCATTCCAGGATCTTTGCCAAGGGAAACCCCAAATGGGGTTATGAAGAGTCAGACTAAAATGACTGAACAGCAACAAAGCAACAATTACAATCGTTATGTTTTCCCACCTCTGGGGCATTGCTTTTGTTTTTTCCTATACGTTGACTGCCTTCCTATCCTATTACCCTTCCCTATCTTTTGGACTCCTACTTATCCTATAAGGTCCAGCTCAAGTGAGAATGCTTCCATAATTTTTTCCTGATGTCCCAGTCAAATATGAAACTTCCTTTATCTGATATAATAGCATTTTGTACTTCATGCATTTGCTTCATTTATTCATTCACTTATGGGATTCCATGCACTGTAGTCATTTGGACATGACTTATCACCCCTAGTGGACTATATGCTTCTCAAAGGAAGAAATCATATCTTCTTTATGCTTGTATTTTCCCCCAGAACTTAGAACACACAATGTGTCATAGACAGTAGACACTTACTAAATGCTTGGCAAATTGAACATTATGAATGAATGCTGTACAACTTGACCAATATTTACCATGGGCATCTTTCCCTCCTGGCTGCTGTGGTCTTGTGTTTCCATTCCGATCGCCTTGAAAACCTACAAAATTTCAAATGTCGTTGAGTCAAGTATAAACAATTCTTAGCTACTCTATTAACACATATGCTTGCTTCTGGTTTCTCTCTATACTTTGCCCCTTGGCCCAAGTCTCTTCATTAGAACAAATGAAGAAAAAACAGTTGAAATTGTTTTTCAATTCCCTACTTCTTGACTCCTCCTGGGTTGGGTGAAGGGGAATGAATGGGGAAGAAGGTGGAAGGATTTATTCAGTGGGTGATCAGAGATTATTTGTGATAAGTGGCTTTGATTTTAGCATTCTATATTGTCAACTAGACTCCAGGAATGTTGATGACAGGGACAGTGCCCCATTAATCTCTAAATTTCAGATGGGGCTTAGCATATTGTCTTGGCTCTTAGTAGGTACTCACACATTTTCGTTGGATTGAATAGGTGCTCTAAGAATTGACCATGAGCTGTTGTTGTTTGTCCTTCATTCTCGAAGAGGACCATGATGTCAGGGGGGTGATGCCATGATGTGCAAGTGAATTGGATTTAAGTGAGAGAGAGCTGTGCAAAGTCACCAGCCTCACTTTCTCCTCCAGAGCCATCTGGGTCCAGTGGCCAGATATAGATTGGGACAAATGGAGATGGCCCCAGGTGCAGTGGGGATCCTTGGCCTTTTCAAGCTAAAGTCTTTAACAGAGCTGACCATGAGCAAAAATGAAAAGGAAGAGGACAGGGAAAGGAAAGGAGCAAAGGGAATAAAGGAAAAGGAAAAGATGAAGAAAATATGAAAATCAAAGGGAAGCTTAATAATTCTTTTTTCAAATACTATATATTAAAGGCTTTTGCACTAAGGGAAATGACCAGCTGTTCCTCACCTTACTGAGGGGCTAAATAAGGCAAAAAATGTTTAAGGAGCAACATAAGTTATTTAAGTTAGATGCAAAAACTTTTGGCAGGGTCCTCACAATTATTGGAAGGGATGTTAAAGGAGTTTGTAAATTCTTTTCTGCTAGGCTTTAAAAATAGGATAAACATAAACTTAGCAGGAAAGCAGTTCACTGGGGAAAAAATCTTTGCAACAAGTTTCTCCGATAAAATATTTATTTAAGATATTTAAGATATATAAGAAACTGATTCAAATATATAAGAATGACAGCCATCCCCCCAATAGATAAAAGGTTAAAGAAGAGGCAGTTCTCAAAGAAGGGGATCCAAACTCCAAGATACCCTAAATCACTAATAGTTTGGGAAATACAAATTAAAATAACTCTGAGGTTCTACCTTCTACTTATCAGATTGGCAAAGATGACTAAAAAGGAAAACGATAACTGCTGCAGATACATGCTGGTGCACTGTGGGTGGAGCTGTGAATTGACTCATCTATTCTGGAAAGCGATTTAGAACTAACCCCCCCCCCCCGCCCTTACATCCAGTGGTATGACTACTAGGCTTATGTCCCAAGATATTAAAAAAAAATAGGAAAAGACCCATATGTGCAAACATATTTATAACAGATTTTTGTTGTTGAAGCAAAGAACTGGAAACAAGAAGAGTTTTCATCCACTGGAGAATTCTTCTATCAAAAGATATAAGATATATAATGGGTATCATATTGCTTGCTTTCTCAATGGGTGGGGGAGGGGCAGGCAGGCAGGCAGGAGCTAATCTGGAGCTGAGAATTTGAAAAATTAATGCTAAAATAAAAGAAAATGGAAGGCTCTATTTAAAAAAGATACAAGAAAGGGACTGGTTTCAGAGAAATCTGGGAAGGCTTGTATGAAGTGAGTGAAGTGAGCAGAACCAGGGGAACAGTTTCTGTACGTTAATGACCACATTGTAAAGAATTCTGATGGAAGCAATAACCAACCATGATTCCAGAGGACTGATGATGAAGCAATGTTACCCACCTCCCACCTCCTGCCATAGAGGGGATGGACCCCAGGTATCAAGTGAGATGTGCAATTTTGGACATGGCGTATGAGTTGGATTTGGTTTGCTTGGCTATGCTTATGTGTTAAAAGAATTGTGATTTTTCTCCTTTTTATTTGGGGCTAGGGAGGAGACGGTTTTAAAAATGAATAAAACCAGTCTTCATTTTTAGGCGTAGCACTGACTGAAGACAGAGGAAGGTATTGTACAACTTTGTTAATATTTTCATTTTTCCCTCTGGAAAGAAGATAAGGGTAGATTTGAACACTAGATCTTATTTTCAAGGCTATCCTGCAATTGGCTTTATTCTTTTCTCAGTGTTTGTTTCAGGGAAAGAGTTGTGTCAATACAGGAAGTGGCTGAGGAATTCAGCTCTTTCTCAGCTGACACTTCCTTCTGAGACTGGAGTAATCTCTTTCCTGAGCACCAAATACGTCTGTACAGAAAGACCCAGACAAGTGATGCAGCCAGATGAGACTCCCACTCACCAGTCTGTGAGACAGATTTTGGGATGTAATACATTCCTCCCACCCAAATGATATGAATTCCCCACAAATAAATAGAAAATTAAAAGGAGCAGGTATAGTGAGTATGGGGAACCGTTCCAGTCAACTGACTACTGAGAAGGAAATAGGAGTCATCGGCATTCCAGAGATCCGGGCCCTTCCCAATGCAAGGCTTTGGATGCAGCTGAGCTCAGGCTAAGGTGCTCTATATAGTTTTCCTGTTTCTCCAAAAAGAATAGAGGACTGTGTATAGACTCCAGGGGCCCAGAATGGCATCTCCTGGGCTCTAGGTCTATTCCCCTCTCTCCTGAATTTCCTTAACATTCCTGAACACATCAGACAGATACAGTCAGTACCCCTGGGGATTCAGCAAACATATGCAAATGGATACTTACGTTTGTCAAAGGAGAATTTCTTAAGTAGCTGTGGTGTTTTGTTCCGAGGGTGTATCTCCACAGTTAAATGAGTTCCTAGAAAGGAAGAGGTGTTGAGAGTATAAGCAACTGCAGGACAGGGTCTGTCAAATATAAAGTATCCATGAAGAAGTATTTATTAAGTGCCAACTCTATACCTGGCACTGTATTAGGTGTTGTGGGGATACAAAGACAGGAAAATGAAATAGTTCCTGCCCTCAAGGAGCTTACATTCTATCAGAAAGGAATATAACATTTTTAACATGTATACCAGAAATCATTGATTCAACAAACACTTAATAATGGCCTCATATGAACAAAGAATTGTACCATGCACTGACAGGAGCACACTAGTGTGCTGGGCAGCAAGACAGCTGGAAATTAGAGATTCGTGATCATTATATTCTGCATGAATCTTCAAAACCTTTTGGGAAGCTACAGCATGGTATAGTAGAAAGAACGCTGTATTTGACATGAGAGGATATGTGTGACTTTGGGTAATTCACTTCACAGATCTGTAGACCTCTGCCTCCCTTCATTGTGGATCAGTTGGACTCTAAAGTCTATTCTGGCTCCTAATCTATGATCCCAGAACATTTATTCCAGTGTGCTGCTACTGCTCACATCATTGTGTCCTCAGTGGTGTCCAATTTCTATTCTTTGATGAGGATTTGACTTGTAAGAAAGATAGCCAAAAATAATTTTGGGCTAAATCTGGCAAATTAGATCACTTTGTGTACAAAACAAGGTAATTAATGATATTGGGGTGTGTGTGTATGTGTGTGTGTGTGATGCAGTGGATAGAGTGCCAGGCCAGGAGTCAGGAAGACTCATCTTCCTGAGTTCAAATCTGGCCTCAGATGCTTCCTAGCTGGGTGACTCTGGGCAAGACACTTAACCTTGTTTGCCTCAGTTTCCTCATCTGTAAAATGAGCTGGAGAAGGAAATGGAAAATCACTCCAGTATTTTGTCAAGATAACCCAAAAATGGGGTCACAGAGAGTCGAATACGACTGAAACAACTGAACAGCAACAAAACATCCACTACACACACACACACACACACACACACACACACACACACACACACAACTATTCTAGGCACCAAGGATTTTAAAAAAAGATATTGTGCTTGTTTTTGCCATCCATACAACCTTATCGGGAAAATGTGAAATATGGATAAAAATGGTAAATAGTGGAGTCTGGCTAATTTTCTACCCTGGGGTAAAGCTGATGAAACTCTCTCTCTCTCTCTCTCTCTCTCTCTCTCTCTCTCTCTCTCTCTCTCTCTCTCTCTCTCTCTCTCTCTCTCTCTCTCTCTCTCTCTCTCTCTCTCTCTCTCTCTCTCTCTCTCTGTCTCGCTCTCCCCACCCCTTTCTCCCCTCCCTCCCTCCCCACCCCAGCTTTATGTTTTCAGTGGTATAGGGACACCTCAGTGAAGAAATCTCCCATTATCAATACAAATCAGCAAATGCTCTGAGATTACAATCTTAGAGACTTCCTGGGAGCACTGAGGGGTTAAGTGGGTTGCTCAAGGTGACACAGCCAGTGTGTGTCAGAGGAGGAATTGAACTCAGCTCTTCCTGACTCTGAGGCCACATTACTATCCATTACGCTATGCCGGCTCTTCGTAGTGTAGATGCCTTCTCTAAAATGTCAGGTTCCTATCATTCTAAGAAATCATTACCCTCTCTCTCTAAGGTCACACTTGGAATGATATTATTAGAATTTGGTTGTGTAGTTAGGAACAGTTTATCTTCTGTGCCTTTCCTATGAGTCCTTACCAAAGCACAAAGAAAACAGACTCACAGACTCTTTTTTGTTTTGTTTTGGGTGTCTGATGCAGAAATTTATTTTGCTTGACTATTCATGTTTGTAACAGGGATTTTTGGTTTGTTTTTTTTTAATTTATTTTTAGTTTTCAACATTCACTTCCATAAGCTTTTGAGTTTTACATTTTGTCCCCCTCTCTCCCCACCTCTCTGCCCAAGACAGCACACAATCTGATATAGGCTCTACATATACTTTCTTATTAAACATATTTTCACATTAGTCATGCTGTAAAGAAGAATTAGAACCAATAGGAGGAACCAAAAAAAGAAGAAACAAAACAAAACAGAAGAAAAAAAAAGAACAAATAGTATGCTTCAATCTGCATTCAGACTCCATAGTTCTTTATCTGGATGTGGATAGCATTTTCCATCATGAGACTTTTGGAGTTGTCTTAGATCCTTGCATTGCTGAGAAGAGCTGAGTCTATCAAAGTTAGTCATCACACAACATGGCTGTTACTGTGTACGACGTTCTTCTGGTTCTGTTCATTTCACTCAGCATCAAACCATACAAGTCTTTCCAGGTTTTTCTGAAGTCCACCTGCTCATCATTTCTTATAGCACAATAGTATTCCAATACATTCATATAGCACAACTTGTTCAGCCATTCCCCATTTGATGGGCTCTTCTCAATTTCAAATTCTTTGCCACCACAGAAAGAGCTGCTATAAATATTTTTGTATGTGTGGGTCCCTAGTTCTTTCTCTGGATGTGGATAGTATCTTCCATCATGAGACCTTTGGAGATCAGACTCACAGTCTCTTAAGAGTCTAGAAGGGATCTCATAAGCCAGATGGGACTTGAGTCTTGGCAGAGGCTTGTTCTGACCCTTGCTTGCTCTCCACTGCCTTTTCCACTTTGCTTACATTGATAAGGGCCATACTGGTTCTCAACCCTCAACAAGAGGAACAGCCAAGTGGGTAGTACTGGCGAGTTTAGTATCTTTGTTTCTGGTCCCAAGAGGATGTCTCCCAAACTATCTCTATGTGGAAGTCCTAGAGTCCCTAATCCCTCCAACCTTGACTCATCTCTCTCAAATGTGATACAGAGGTGATACACTCAGGACTTGTCATGTACTCTGAGAGAGCTGCCAGGACCACCTCATGGTTCTGCAGAGTCTCCTCCTCAATCTCTAGTCTTGTTCCCTTTTAGACCTTAAGTTCCCAATGCCATCTCAGAATCTGAGCTCCCCAAGGAATGATAATCTTCATTTTCCTAGTTTTACTAAAACTGTAACATATTATGACATTAATCTTTTTTTTTTTAATGGGGTTTATTTTTCCAAGCCATCCCTAAAGTTGATTTCTTCCTGGGTAATATGCCTATACTTCAGGTAAATGGCTACCAAGTGGTGGTGGGTGGCATGGTGGGTAGTCAGTCAGTCAGTCAATAAATTCTTATCAAGTGCTTAGTATGTACTAGGTAGTATGTTAAACATTGGGGTTACAAAAAGAAGTAAAAGAAACAAAACAAAACAAGCTCCCTTTATTCAAGGAGCTCATATTCTAATGGGAGAGACAATATGCAAACAAGCTAGGTACATACTAGATGCATACAGTATAAGAGAACAGAGTGAGGCTGAGGACTGCACAACTCTTTCTCACCTAAATTCAATTCATGCACAGTCAAGACATCACCCCTTGTGATGGTCCTCTTTGAGAATGTAGGACAAACAACAAAACAGTATAAAAGGCACTGGCTGGGTGGGTAGAGGGTGAGGAGGAGGAGGAAGCCAGAAAAAAGGTTTCCTGCAGAAGATTGAGCTTTGAGCTCAGTCTTGAGGAAGCCAGGAGATGAAAGTGAGGAGGAAGAGCATTACAGGCATCAGGACAGCCAGGGAAAAAACACAGACTCAGAGAATGAAGTGTTGTGTGTGAGGGATAGCAGGAAAGCCAGCATCTCTGGATCACAGAGTTCATGGAGGAGGATAAAGTGTATGAAGACTGGAAAGGTAGGAAGGCGCCAGGTTATAAAGGGCTTTAGAAGCCAAGCAGATGTGACATGGCATATGGTGACCACAGGGTCTGAACAGAAAGATTTCCCCTAGCTCTGTATATCTAAAGGAACTTAGCATGTTTTCCCATTCAATTACAGAATTCAATTAAAATGGGACTCTAAATTCGAACATTATGATTACTACTCTAATGACCATATTTTTTAAATGTGCTGTTTAGAACAAGATTTAAGGAACTCAGCAAGAAATAGAAACATTGAAATACAAATGCAGATACCTTTCTCACTAACTCTTAACAATTAATGATCATGGCTAAATTTTGCCACTACCACCCCCCACACCTGAAGAGATTTAACTCATTTGGGGGTCTCTCTTTGCTTGTCTATGGCTCTCCTGCAGTTCAGAGGGAGCCCCCACAGTCGGTTCCACTGGATATTAATCCTGCAGTCTTTCTTCTTTTTTTACTTTTAATTACTCTGGTGAAAGAAGCTTTTAAAATTAGATCCCACAAACATTTATTAATCATCTGTTCTTTGCAGAACACTGTGTTAAGTGCTGTGAGAGATATAAAATTGAAATAGGACATAGTCCCTGATCTTAAGAAACTGACACACACACACTGATATGTAGAATATACAATAATCCAATTATAATTATTTTAGAGGAATGCAGAACAAAGTACCACAGACGATGCAAGGATGTTACCAACAAGGGGAATCAAGGAAGGCTTTATGGAGGAGGTACCATTTGACCTGGGCTTTAAATGGAGGGTAGGAATTTAATAGGGAACAAGAAAAGGAAAAGCTTTCTAGGCATTGGGAGCAGTGTGAACAAAGATGCGGAGCTGAGATAGTTGAGGGCACATTTTGAGGAAAAAGGGTAGTTTACTTTGGCTAGAGGAAAGAGTATATAGGAGGAAATAATGTGAGACAATGTTGAAAAGGTCAAGCGGTACCAGATGGTATAGTGCCCTAAGTTTCAGGCAAAAGAATATGATCTTAGTAGGAAATTGGGAGCCATTGAAGATTTTTGAGTAGTGTGAGCCACAACTAGATCTCTGCATAAGAAAGATCAGTCTGACAAATAGATGAAGGATGGATTGGGTAGGAGAGAATGTGAAAAGACCTTTTGAGAAGCTGTTAGAATGCTTTAGGAAGGTGGCAATTCAATAGCCAAGGCTCTCCTTGGCAATGGATGGCGAGGTAAATGCAGTTTCTACTTTTCACAAGACTGTTTTCTTAACTATATTATCTATCAGCTAAATGGCATGGT